CATAGGTTGCCCACTCCCGAGGTTACATGTGTACTCGAACCCACTCGTACTCCTCATGGACACGCACGTGTATCAACGCGCGGCCCGTGCATCATGTTCGCAATCAAACGTTTGAGACAAAACAAGACCCAATCCGTAAATACTAACACCGCCGGTGATTAGTATTTTTCGTATGTATGAATAGTACATGTACGTATGAATAGTAACCATACTTATGAATAGTGCATGTATGTATAAATAGTACCCGCGCGTTTGAATAGTATCGTGCTCGTGAATAGTACCGTATGAATAGTAAAAGTGCTTATGAATAGTAAAAGTCTGTATGAATAGTAACAGTACTTACGGAAAGTACCCATATGTATGAATAGTAACAGTGCTTATGAATAGTTTTGTACTCGTGAATAGTACATGCATGAATAGTAATAGTACTTATGAATAGTACGCGTATATATGAATAGTAATAGTACTTATGAATAGTTCGCATGTGTATAAATAGTATTAGTACTTATGAATAGTACACACATACGAATAGTAACATACTTATGAATAGTACGCGTACATATGAATAATAACCATACTTATGAATAGTACATGTATGTATGAATAGTGTAGGCGTTAAAAAAATGTTTACAGACATACAAGTACCACTCGAAACAACATGGAGGAACAATATACACATCGTCAGGCAACACAACGCAGCGCGGTAGGACAAGGTGCCGCGGCTAAGGCGCGGCAGTCCAGGGTGCCGCGGTCAAGGCGCGGCAGCCAATGGTGCCGCGGCCAAGGCGCGGCAGTCCAAGGTGCCGCGGCTAAGGCGCGGCAAAGAGAAAACACTCGGTCAGTTATTTTGCCCCCGTTTCAACTGTGGTGCACTGAGACCCCTATAAATACCTCCCTACACACGAAATAAAGGCAGAGGGCATTTTTGGAGCAGAAGATACTTGAGTCTTTGGTGATTTTGAGAAAGAAAGAGAGAATTTTCACCCTCTGACAAGCATCATTTGGTGAATCCTAGAGATCTAAGCTCAGACTTGATCTTTGGAAGAACGGACATCTTACATCGATAAGATATTCGTTTTCAAATCTTTACTTCGATAAACGAAGGAGAGATCCTTAAACAACCTCTCGATCTACGAATCGGTGGTCCACGAATTAAAGCATTTCCGGCACAGGCAAAGTCCCACAAAAGCAGGAGTTGATAAACAATTTCTGTGTTATTTTCTCGAGAGTTGTATTTTCTTTTATTTTCATTGTAATTTCTTGTAAACACATCAAAGTTTAATGGAATCTGCAATGGAAACGACTTTCGCTGAAAACAAACTGGCGACCACAGTGGGAGCCAGCGGCCTCGCTGCCGAGGCCGCAGTGTCGCAGCCGATTAAGATCATCGTCACCGAAGAGATCGAATATGAGTTCGATCAAGCCAAATTTGAGGAGTACCTGTCATCCTCATCTTCAAAATCTCCCTCGCCCCGCAAGTGTAGGAAGATTTCCTCTCCTAAGAGAGTTTCTAAGTCTTCAATTCCGATGAAGACCACAGGCGAAGATTCTTGCCAAGTTCTCTCCAAGGAATCTGCCTGTAACATTTCTGCTCCGAGTGACCCCGCACCAGTTAAGGAGTCACTGAATCAAAATGAACCAGCATTGACGAAGAGAGCCCGTCAAAGACAGCGTCAACGCCGCGCTCGTCAATTGGCAAAGGCTTTACAGCAAACCGACGGGGTCCATTATTATACGGACCTAAAGTCGAGGAATCAAAAGATGGTTCAGTTGCCTCAAAGGCAAAATAATCACATCTCTGCACAACTTACGACGGAGGAATGGACTCTGGTGAGCCCGTTCTACCCTGAAAGAGCGCATACAAAGGCGCCAAGCAAAGGCGGCTCGTGCTCGTGCCCTTCGTCAACAAGCGCAGAGGAACAAGAAAGAAATGGTGCCTGAAAAGCCATCAAAGAACGGCAAAATTTGGGTTCCAAAGATTGAAAACACCCAACAATCTCAAAAGGGTGCAAACTCTGGCCGCGGCAGCTCAGACTGTCGCGGTAACTTATTCGACCGCGGCAGTCATAACTGCCGCGGCACTTTGCTCAACCGCGACAGTAAGGGTCGCCGCGGTACTTCGTTTGATCGCGATGTTCATCACTGTCGCAAGACCACATCTGCAGTTGATCCTGGCCCTTCTACTATAGCATCACCAGTGGAACCTTGGGTTAGCCCAGATTTGTCTAAATTCAAGATCACTATGGCAGATCGCCTTGGTCCTTTGGTTGACGATCGAGGCAAAGCCCTAGTCAAAGAAGATCCAAGTCCAGCGAATAAACCCTTGGTGGTTTCATATACAGGGGGTCGCAAACACCCTCCTGTCAGAACTACACCGGTCCGAAATGAGAGAATATCAGTCCATTCTCGTTTAGGACCTCTGAAAATTCCACACCCGCAAGGGGGTGGATTTAAAAATTCAACTTTGGATCGCCCAGAAGCGACGACTAGTCGTTCTGTGCTTGTTAACAAAGTTCAGAGGCAAAAGATAGGTTGCTCGAATCACAATAATGACGAGCTGTACTATCAGAAGAAGAACTCAAGAAAAAGGATTGTCCGAGAGAATGAGTCCCATTGTGCATGTGAGAGACTCATTAAGGCAGTGCTGACGGAATGCGGATGCTCCAAGACTGATTCAACAAGAGTCTCTGTATTCCAAAGACTTTCCAATGAAGCGTCAAGACCCAAGGTGAGACATTTCAACAAAAAGAAACCGGCAGTCCGACAAGATGAGTTCCCCGAGGTCACTATCAACATGACCAACAAAGGGAAGCAAAAGTCAGTCAATCCCGACCCTGATTTCTCTCCAGGAGGGAGAGTTGAGCGGGGTCTTTCTCAAAGGATGGCGCGATTACAAAGAAGAGCCAACCTACGACAAGACTACAGGAAAATGCACGAGGGGCTATCTTCAGATGAAGAAATGTCAGATACTTGTTCAGCCATTGCATCGGACGATACCGCATCCAGTGTTGGACGAGTCAGAGAATCATTCGCGATCACGCCAGATCAATTGGCTCAAATGCTGCAGGAAGCGTTGGCTAAACAACGCGAAGAAATCAGAGCTGAGTTCAAGACTGAGATGGAGTTGACTATGCAGCAAATGCGGGATTTGCAGGTTCAGCAACACCAACCGGAATCAAGCCAAAGAGCGGAATCCAGTCGGCGTAATGAAGAGGATGAGACGATATTTGAAGATCATCCTCTAGATAAAGACAACTCCGGAAGCGATCCGACCAAGTCAGCCACTCAACCTCCACAGATCTATTTGAAGAAAAGCGAGGAAGAGGACAAGAAGATGCACGATCTCGAGAGCAAAGTCAACGCTCTGATGACTGCCCAAGAAGTGAAGAAAACGGGCATTCCATACCCGTACCCAAGGGAGTGGGACCTGATTCCTTACCCCCAGAAATTTAATTTGATTAACTTTACTCCTTTTGATGGCAGGGGTTCACCAACTCAGCACTTGATCTATTTCAAGGCGCATCTCGGCGCAATATCCGGGAACGAAGCCCTGATGGTTCGGTCATTCGTGGGGACCCTTCGCGGGCCTGCCTTCGATTGGTACCGACGTCTTAAGCCCGGGAGTATCACTAGCTGGGAGGATATGGAAGAACTATTCCTCACCAACTTCTTCGACGACGACACAGAAGTCTCGATCGGCACGTTGTTGGACGAAAAGCAGAAGGACGGGGAATCTGTTGATGTCTTTGTCAAGCGATTCCGGGACAAAGCAGTGAACTGCAGAGATCCACTTACTGAGGAATTTATTCTACAAACATGTCATAATAACCTGTCCTTGGATGTATTAGAAGTGGTAGGGGTTGTTCACTCTAAGACTTGGAAAGAATTGAAAATGAGGGGTGAACAGGCTGAGCGCTTTCTCAAGAGAAAGAATTTGGAGAGAGGTTTGCCACCAGCCAATAATCAGAATCAGAAGCAGAACTTTAATCCTCGAGGCAGAGGAAGAGGGTCGGTGGCCGCTGTCGATGCACATCAAACGTCACAACAGCCACCGCAGCAACAACCGCAACAATCATCCTTCCAGTTGGCGCCAAGCCAGAATCAACAGCCTCAGAAACAGTTTAAGAATTCTGAGCCCAGATTCCCGAAGGAATACTCTTTCAAAGATGATGAAGTTCCGGTCATCTTCAAATACTTGTTAGAGAACAACAAGATCAAGCTTCCACCGGTCACAAACCAAGAAGAAGCAACGAAGATCAATGACCCAAAATATTGTGCATACCACAGAAGGGTCCACCATCCTACTAAGACATGTTATGTCTTAAAGGATAAAATACAAACATTAATTGCCCTCGAGGCAGAGGAAGAGGATCCGTAGCCGCTGTAGACGCACACCAAACGTCACAGCAGCCGCCGCAGCAACAACCACAACAATCATCCTTCCAGTTGGCACCAAGTCAGAATCAACAGCCTCAGAAGCAGTTTAAGAATTCTGAGCCCAGATTCCCGAAGGAATACTCTTTCAAAGATGATGAAGTTCCGGTCATCTTCAAATACTTGTTAGAGAACAACAAGATCAAGCTTCCACCGGTCACAAACCAAGAAGAAGCAACGAAGATCAATGACCCAAAATATTGCGCATATCACAGAAGGGTCCACCATCCTACTAAGACATGTTATGTCTTAAAGGATAAAATTCAAACATTAATTGATGTTGGTATTGTGACGCCGAAGCCAAAGGAGAAGAAGGTAGGCGCAAACGCGGTCTCTATTAGCTTCGGATCGGTTCCTTTGTCCTGGTTTCAAGCCGAGCCAGTATCAAAGGTCAAGATGCAAACCATCAACGATGACCCTCATGGACAGCGCCAGAAGGGGCTCGTATCTCACACAGCCCCCAACGGCGAAATCCTTTGGGTTCATCCGGATTTGCTTGAAGATGAACAGTGGACGACATCCAAATCAAAGAAGAAGTCAAAAAACAAGGGAAAAGAGAAGTCCTGTTATGGAGTCTCAGCAATCCCCGAGAAGAATGATGAACGGATAGCAGCTTTATCACTTTCTGATGGAGAACAAGAGGTTTTCACTACAAGAAGTGGGAATGAATATCATTATAAATATCCTGAGACCTCTAACCCAAATGCTACAACTTTGA